CCTGGACGATGTTGACGTGGCATGTGCATATGATACCTAGACAGTATAAGAGACGATTCTCTCAATGTAGACCATTATTATCAAGACGATACCTTCCACCTAATCGACGATAGTGATCTACTTCGTTGCCAAGAAAAAACGCAAAGCCTTCAACGTGTTCCATGTCGGGAGTCCGCGAGCCATTTTGGAATACAAGGTATCAGGATGTGTTCATCCATGACGTCTTGAATAGTAGCGAGTAATCTGTTTTCGATCTGGAGGGCTTTCCGATGCGACAGTCCTTACTCTCGTTTACTTTGACTGGATTGACTCTTTCGTCCTCTTGTTTCCGCAAATCACCAAAATTAGACCCATCATGCTCAGCAGCATTCTACTTGTTGTGCTAAGGCGCCCTTTCCCCAATAGGGTTCTCTTATTTTCCCACGGTAGCGTATAATACACATGTCCATCACTCGCACTCGCCTCTGCACATACTCAAATATCGAGGTCAGAACGGGCTGGAATAGACGCAGTAGTAGTAGTAGCGTCAGGGAACATCAATCTGTTGTGAGATAAAGTATTTACTCTTCTCCTTGCGTGCGATGCTTCCTGAGAAATCAGTGAGGCCTAGGAAACGAGTGCGGTATCGTACAGAGATTTGGAAGTCATGCTAGCAGTCAATGTTGATGGGCTTCATGGAAACGTATACCAGTTGATGAAGGGGATAGCTCCAGGCTGAAAAAAAGTGAGCCCATAAAGATCTCTAAGCGATGCAACAAAGATAATTGTATGGCATTCAGAAGGATCGGTGTCCTCTGGTGAAGCATCGCTTTGCCGGGCATTGCTCCGAGACAAGACAGTATAGATCAGCCTCAGTTTACTGTTACCATCGAGAAGTTCTGAGCGAAAAATTTGTCAAAGCCATACTCTGCACATATCGATGGAGCAAAGTAGAGTGGTTTGAACACGCTCACCGTTATCGGTGTGGATGGGGAAGGTAGCGGACGTCATCACTGTCAAGCCCGCCCAATCAGAGCACGCAGCTCCTGCGCTAGGCCTGCGAAGAAGTTGCGCCCTCGTTTCTACGAAGCATACAGAACTCAATATGTTGCTATAGGCGTGGAAAAACCGCGGCGCATTGTGGCACGATCAAGATCAACAGATTATGGACTTTTGCGTTGTGCCTATCAGGTCTTGCATTTCCGGCCACTTCCATTTCCGAGATCTATATACGTTCGATTGTCACAACAGCATCCATCTACTCTGGAACCCAGTCTGGACCCTCAGCCTGGTAGAGCGTGGGTTGTGGGTTGACGCAAAGCCTTCCATTCTCGTTCGGCAGACCGTCAACGCTACGCACATTGAAGAACTCACTGCCCACTGCCCCAGTAGCCCAGAAGAGATTGAACGGATCATACTTGCGCTTCGCCTCCAAGAGACGCGGGTAGAAGCTGCCCCAGAACGACCATTGAAAATTCGGCTCAAGGCGATCTCCCTCAGAGAGATACGAACCGGAGCCGGGCGTGAGATCGCGCCATTTCTGCATAACGCCATAGGTCATGTTGAGGCGCTCTTCAACAATCTCTGGAGCTGGATTCGTCATGTTCAGCACCGTTCCGGTGATGATGAAACCGAGCATGTCTCTCCAAGCTGGATTGACAGAGTTGTCAGGGCGTCCGCCTTTCTCCCATGATGGCGCCATGTTGTAGCCGATCAGCGCCATACCTTCGTCGACGGCTTGCCAGAGGGCTTCGAAAGTCTCATCGAAGATGGATTCGTTGGCCCAGTTGGAACGTGGAATCATGCGCGAAGTAGTGGCTACACCATTACTATTCACGGCCTCCACGGGAAAAGAGCCGTTGTACGCATCGTAGAAGCCGTTGTACTGCGTCCATTCGGGCGCGACAGTGATCCCGAGTGCGGCCATGTCTTTTACCCAAGGGTCGACCAGAGCTTTGGCTTCTTCGACGGTCTTGCCGGGAGCGAAGAAAGGCGACATATCCATCATGATGGAGTCGGGCCCCGGGAAAACTTTCCAGTAGGCGTAAGTGTTGTTATCGGCGTTCTGTGGGAAATATTTCATGTAGGCTTTGAGCCCTTGCTTGAAGGCTTCGGTGCTGACGTTCTTGCCTGTAGTGACAACCCAGTTGGCGGAAGCAACGGGTTGGTCCGGATGTACCTTGACGGTGACTGAGGTTACGACACCGAAAGTCAGACCGCCACCACCGCGTAGTGACCAGAACAGCTCGGGGTTATTGTTCTTGTCAGCAGTCACGTAGCGACCGTCTGCCAAGACGACCTCCATGGAAAGCACATGGTCAGCGCCTAAGCCCAGGTGGCCAGACAGAGGTGAATGGCCGCCACCTTGGATCCACCCGCCCATTGCGCCAACAGTAGGGCCTGTATCGCAAGCAAAGTCAGTGCATATCCCACAACATGTCGAGATAGTAGATACTGACATTCACCGCCAAGGACTGTGCCGCCGAAATCTCTCGCAGCAGCGTAAAGCTCAAAGCCTTGCGCACCTGAGCCAGCCTTCATAGCCGGTCCAGTGTAATCATCAGACTCGTAGTTCTCGATGAATGCAATGTCTTTCAATCCGTGGGTCCATACACTAAGAGAGCCAGCACCACCGCTCTTGCCCTAAGACCCATCAGCGACTGGAAGATTAGGTATCCAAGACGAAGCACTTACAGCAAAATCGTGACCAGTATTCCGGACCACAAAGCGAACGCCTGTGTTTCGCGCGAAGTTAAGCGCCAATTGGATCTGAGCGGTAGTTGAGGCATTTACAACGTAGAGAGAGTATCCTCCTTGGGTGCACTCCTTACTATCGTAGAGCTGAGGTGGTTGGCATGTACTGCCTTGGTACATCGGACTTAGCATCTCAAGTGGGTCGTCGAGCCTGTTCATATACGTTAGTCGATGGCTATGAGGAGGTAATCTTCAGAGGCTACATACTGGGAAAACGGATCAGTCCACGACTTGGTCATGGCATCGCAAGCGCTCTGGTCTGCACCAGCCAAGCTAGTGTTGTAGCAAACATGTGCTTGGGGAAGAGGCTTTAGTAGAGCCCCGTTGGTTACATCGTTGAGCGCCGACCAGCTCGCGTCCGCCGGCCAGTCTTCATCGCCAGGGAATACCTTGCATTCACGGCCGTTAAAAGTACTCTCTGTCTCAAGGGTAGAGTCGCTCGCAATGTTCTGCGAAGCAAATTGGAAAAATGACCTCGCGTCGGTCGATACTGAGGCCAGGGCATCCTCAATAGTCGCATCCGTGAGGGCTAAATCTTCCCATCCAAAACGGGGAACGCTTCCATCGGCTGTTTGCTGAATGCTCGCAAAGTTGCTCGACTGGCGATCGGCGAGACGCATTGGGGGTTCTGAGGAGCGAGGCGTGAATCTGGCGGCGGCGGATGCTACGAAGAGCGCGCTGACAAATGACGACACCATGATTGCGATTGTCGAGCCGCACTGAAGAGACAAGAAGTTTGCTTGCAGCTGAAGAAAGTAAAAGAGAAAAGACAGGATACGACTGCTCGAGTAAAGATATAGCTCGCACGCGGTATTTGCCACAGCATTGAGTGCCGAGACCTTGCTCATTCAGAGCAGCAGTACGCGATTCATGTTTGGCCTTACAGCAGACGTGCGGCTCCTGTGGGGTCTGGTCGCCCAGATCTAGTCAACGGCCCGCGCCACCTTCTGGTGGTATTCATCGCTCAAAATCGTCGCCCTCGTGGGCAAGTGGTATGGATTTTGGATGCACGTACGCTTCCTTCGCACTTTCATCAGACCATGGCTGTAAGTAAGGAGATCAACTCATGCAGAAGGGGCTTGTCCTCCGGTTCGCATGAGAATGCCAAAAATTAGAACACGGCTTGTCTACAAACCCCCTCAAACTCCATCCAGACCCAGACCGTTGATGAGGGACTCCACATATTCCTCACGGACTCGCAACTATCCACAGAATCGCTGTGAAGAGAGCTCGCTAAAGAGAACTTGGCTATGATCCCAGACTATAGCACCATTCACGGTTCGCTTCGATGCGGCAACGGGGCGGTTGAACATCGACCGAAATTTGGAACGGCTCGGGGGAACGGCACGTCTGCTCGGCAAGGCCAGCATCAGCGAGTCTCTGCTTCTAAACGCAAGGAGGAGATCCACTATATGCACGTTGGAGTATTGGAAGGATTCGATCCCAACTCTTACCGCCCAGGCTTGTGAACAGCTGTTTTCACTGTCACTTATGCGCGCAGGCCGTCCTCATGCAGCACTGCTCTCCTCACCACATACTGCTGCCGAGCAGGACTGCATCGTGGTATTTGCCTATTATGCCACTTCCGGCTATAAGACTGCGAGTGAAAAGTCTCTAGCTTTACGGTTCAATCTACTACGCCGGTGCTAATGCAGGCGTGCGGCACGGGAGGGACGGCAGACGGGGAAATGTGCCCTAGGTACCGCTCCCCAGCTCCTCATCCCTATCGGGAATAGCGTGGGCTTCGGGTACGGTCCGAGGCTTTGATCAACAGCCTCAAACTCCCGGCATCGGTGTATCTTTGCGCCAGAACCCACAATCGATATCTCATGTTGGGAAATAGTATCAGACATTGAGTGAGAAACAGTCTGACGAAGTAGTTCTCCAGGCTACTACCTAAGTGGGAGAATCCTGATGCCGAAGCGACGGAACGCTTCAGGGAGTCTTGTTGGGAGGAATTTTCGTGGCATCAACGGCACGGCTCACAGTCAAAGCAAGGAAGCGATCTGCGCACCTGAGGCACAGTTTTTGCCGTCATTCGGGTCGAATCGAGAACGCGTGCGCCGCGGAGACGATGAAGGATGCGTATCCCATCCCGATGCTTCATTTCACTTGTTTCGACAGGCCGTTGGTATTGCAAGTCACGTCCTTGAGTTCTTGGTCTTCCAAAGACACGGTTACTTGTCAACGTAGTTGGGACGTATATCAATTGACCGTAGTCCCTCATTTCGTACCACGTTCATGCTTGCCAGATTATTGCGGTAGTCATGAGTGAACCTTCAGATTCCAAGCAGCCGGCCATCTTTGCCATCACTATTGCATTTGCTTCCATTAGTACGATTTTTGTCGGCCTGAGATTATATCATCGGCTTTTGATCAAACGGTTCCGTTGGGGTAAGCTTCCATGGAAACTATCCAGTTCTGCAACGTCCAGCTAACAAGACGTCTAGACGATGGGCTCATATGCATGGCGTGGGCATTAGCGGCCGCACAAGCGGGTGTGTTCCTCAAATTTGTCGTCTTGACGAACCAAGGACATCACATCTGGAACATTCGCACACCTACTATCGACCAGCTGGTCGAAGCGGACAAGTGGAACATGGCTCAACAGTTGATATACAACCCAATCCTTTGTCTGGTGAAAGCCTCGGTCTTGGTCTTTCTGATCAGGCTAGGCGATCAAAGGACATTCGTTTATTGGAGTTTGCATATCCTCTGGTGGTTCAACATGGGTCATATGATATCCGTCTTCTTCGCCGCTCTCACGCAGTGCCTGCCCATCCACATGTACTGGGACCACTACTACACAGACCAAAACATCGATGGCAAGGTGGTGAACCCAAACTACACGTGCTACAATATGGCCGCCTTTTCCCTCGTCACCGCCGGTCTCGCAATCCTGACGGATATACTCATACTCCTTGTGCCAGTAGCTATGATGTGGAACCTACGCATGGCGATCCGCCAGAAACTCGCTGTCAGCGCCGTGCTCTCTGCTGGCTGGATTGTAGCTATCCTCGGCATAATTCGATTCAAAGTCTTCTACGACTTTTGGTACCCATCTAGCACCTCGAATGACCCCACATACAAGACCTCCATTACCCTCTCAGGCATCGAAGTCAACGTCGCGATTATGACCGCTTGTGGTCCCGCGCTCAAAGCCCTCGCCACAAAATTTGCGCCACAACTCTTTGGCACCAAGAGCACCACCCGTCCTACGACGAACGCATACTATTCGGGCGGATACGAGATGAAATCGGGTGCGGGTACAACGAAGAGCCATCGCTTCATTACGACGGCACTCCAACGGCGCGACGACGATAGTTGCAGTCAGGAACACATCGTGCGTGACAGCGGTTCGCATATGGACAACAAGAGCATAGAAACACCTTTGACAGAAGATACGATGGTGTCATCCGACCGCAACGCATTGCAAAATAGCGAGGGATAAGATGGCGCGTTGGTGTATTATATGCAATCCTCTAAACATTAGCCAATCATGAACAACACGCGGCAAGAACGCAAGCCACCAATACCATGCATTCATAGGGTATCACCACCATATCGCCACGCTAGATGTATGCTTGCCTGAACGCCTGCAGCTTCTTCCTAGTGCGCCGTGTAAATGCCTTGTTCACCTTTGCAGTTTGATCCTCGTTCCCGCTTGGTCGCCTATACTTGCTTCACGAATGCTGGTACAAGGTTAACGTCGGTTCTGAGATGTTGAGGGGTTTGAACTTACTGGCATCGATCTGTACAACCTGGGGTAACGCTAACCGAATCTTGTTCCTGTATAGCGCCGGTTGTGCCCGTTGAAGAGGGTTGCCCTCGAAGTAGACCGTCTCCAGCTCTTCCTTATCTCTCAACTCCTTCTCGACCTCTCCAAAGTCGCTCAACTTGCAGTTACTTGCCCAGAACTCAGTGAGGTGCTTGAGACCATTCAGTCCCGATAGATGTTCGATCGGGTTTGCGCTGATGTCGATGACGTTCAGGTTGACGTTGTTCTCTAGACCTGACAGTTCTGTGAGGAGGTTGTGCGAGATGTGCAGTTCTTCGAGGTTGACGAGCTTCTCCAGACCCGTTATCGAGCGCAGGCGATTTGACTGAATGCTGAGAATCTTGAGATTGGTGAGGGTGTCTAGGCCCCTGATCTCGGTGATCTTGTTCTTGCCCAGCCACAGCTCTTCCAAGCCCGTCAGCGTTTCCAGTCCTTCAATCTCGCGTACCCTGTTCGCCCCGAGCTCGATCTGCCGCAGGTTGGAAAGCCCGTCTAGGTTTTCTATCTTGCTGATCTTGTTCTGCACAAAATACAGATCCTTGAGCTTTGTCATGTGGTTCAGGCGTTTGATGTGCTTGATCTTGTTGAAGGAGAGGTCGAGCGAGGTGAGTTCGGTGAAGGCATCGAGGCCTTTGATGTGCGCTATGAGGTTGTCGTAGAGGTCGACTTCTGTGAGAGTCGGCGCGACTTCGTCGGGTATCGCGATGCTTTCTATGCGGTTTTGGCGTAGGCAGAGACGCTGGGAGGTTAGGCAAACTCATCTACAACCCACAGCACAGCATACCTTCATCTGCTTGAACCTCTCCAACCGTAACGCTGACATGTCTGAGACTTTGGAGTGCACGATCTCTATGTCGTCCTCATCTTCCGGTGTATCGTCCAGCAAATCCTCGTCTGCAGCCAGCTGCTCGGGAGGCGGGCCCTCGTCGTCTGATACTTCTGGGTCGCTCACAACCTGCGCATGGGGGTCGCGTGGTTCGTCGGCAATGCTCATCTTGTCTATCCGCAACTTCCCGTCCCAGCCGTTGCTGTCGCGTGGCTTGTGGTCGTCGTTCTCTTCGTCGCGTGTTTCGTTCGCGTCGGTCGCCGCAGCGGGGTCGCGCTCGCTGTGCGGGGCAGGATTTGGCTCAGCCATGGCGCGTGAGGGGATAGTGTGTGGGGAATCGACGGAGAAAGCGTCTTGGAACTGGGTGTAGGTATCGATCGCTACTTGCAATATCTAGGCAGCCGTGTGTGGTCTGGAAGTGATTGTTGGAGCGGCAGGTTACGTCGTTTCGAGCTAACCTCTGCCTAAGCAAGGGTCCAGCGGCATGACGATCGCCAGCCATCAGACACCAACGCTCCACCACCGACATCACGGCCAACTACAAGATTCGTTCGAGTTGCATGACTTCTAAGTAATCCAGCCTATCCGATGATCACACGTCTGATCCATAGTAAGCATGTACACTTCCAACCTGTCTACGATCCAACCAGAACGAACCCCATCTCCCGTCATCGCCGCCGGCTCCTCCATCTTTTCACACCTCGAAGCGGCAGTGGAATACTCTGAGCATTGTAATGTCGACGCTCGACCCAAGCGCACTTCGCTTGACACAAGGCACCTGGAAGTGCGGTAGGAGAACTGCAGACAGCGCGTGTTCCTTTCGCATGCCAATTGGCAAGCTTCGAAAGAGCTGTGCACCTCCTCGCCCTTCAAAACCTCATTGCTGAAGGCCTTATCGACGGAATAACTGTCCCAATCTGATGTTTCTTTGCTCAGACTAGGGTATATGTATCCCTTGAACACATCGGCATGCCTCAGAGGAGCGCTCCTTGGACGCCTACGATACCACTCTTGTTCGAATTCCCACAGAGACCTGATCTCATTTTCTGGCATATGATGGTATGTAATCGCGGGATAGCACCACGGTTGTCTGTTGATCTTGGTAATGTTGTGGTCGAGCGTTGAAACCGGATCACCCTGGAAGTGAGGAAATGCCCACAGCAGTGATACTTGAGCATCCTTCAACGCCTTTCCGAGGACCATGTCTCCGGCCCATTGCTCAATCGTGTACTGGTTCAAGACTTTCATATGAGATTTCCAATGACGGATCACCTTCCTCATTGCTGGTGCCGACAGAACAAACCCCGAGCCGCCGTGAGCAAAAAGCACGTCGCCAATATACATTTGCTTGCCGATGTAATGCGAGGCCTCTGCATCGAACTGGGACAGATAGTCGAGCAGGTTGGTCCACATCAGGTACGTGTCAAGTTCAACGAAGACGAACCACTTTGCTTGTGGCATCTGGCGGAGAGCTTTATTTATCATAGGCAGGAACTTGAACTTGTCGAGTTTCCAGCCAGGATTGCTTAGCGATCCCGATGCGCCACTTCCATCGTGTGCGATACCGTCCATGGAGAGACCATCTCGGCCTTCGGTTTTTAGCTGGTGGTAAAGCTTAAAGTCTGGCACTGAGTCTTTTAGATCCTGGTCGAGCTCGTCGAAAACGTCGTGAATATGATGTCCCCCAAATTCTTCTTCAAAGTCGGAATAGATGGCGTAGTTTGGAATGCATCGCAACACGGTAGTGAGATGGATCGGCAGCTTCTCGAGTACCTCGGTGGCACCTGTGCGAAGGACGACCAATACTTCTTTCGCGATCGGGTTCTGAGGACAGTACAGTGGGGTCTGATGCTGGCTGAATATACTGGCGCTGGGTGTCGATCTTCGATATGAGCGTATGAAGAAGCCACAGATGAGCAAGGCGGCAACAGCAGTTCGATATCTGCGTCGGAAGTTGCCCCAGGACCTACCTGCAGCCATTGTCATTCACTCAACGCAAGTACATTGGGGCTCGTTGGAAGGAACAAGCTCAGTCGACTTTATTGGGGGTTTGCCCCTTCAATCCGCAGCTCTGCGTGTCAGTATGAGCTTCCCGCCCGGCGCTTAGCGCTGATAATCCTTGTCAGCTTCTGGTCCTCCATTCCGATGTAATCAACCGCTGCGTCACACTCGAAAGCCAACCCACACGCATCTCCGGTGTCCTTCTCAAAGAAGGACAGCTACGCTGGCGTTATTTCAACAGACAAGTAACCGCTGGCCTTCTTCCCCCGATAATATGATCTGAATGGCTTTCCAGACGAAAAGGAAGTAGCGAAATTGAGAGTGAGCAGTAAGTGGCACAGCAGAGACAGTGGCGTTTGGGCAGAATAGTGATTGGTGGGAATCGAGTAGGCGAAAGCAGACAAGGACCTGCATCATTATCGTCTTGCTTCAAACAGTGCATCTCAGCCAACCGCTCACCCGTTCCACGGGATTCAACAACTAAACTAAGAGATATGCGCATTCAACCGGTGCGGCGTGGTGAAGGGCTCCCGCCTCCAGGCTCTCGGTGTAACCAAAGGCGTATGTGCAGAGCACTCTTCCGCTATGTGTCCCCTTGTTTTCGCTTTCATACCATCAGCCCTTTTGCCATAGTATCAGATAACTATGTGGAGACTCATCGTCAGGCTGTGGGTCATGAGCTCGACGTTACTCGCCTCTCATGTCTCGCCGAGACAGGAAGAAGAAGAAGAAGGAAGAATATGGACAGAACCCCAGGACTCAAGCGACGGCGGATTCATCTTTCCAATAACGTACCCGATCGACTTCCGCGAAGGCTCCAGCATCAATATATCATGGTCGACCACGTACGAAAACATCAACTTATACTTTTACCAAAGAGGCAAGGTCGCGAATTCGGTGCAGCTCGCTGGTAAGGGTTCATGCTTCTTCATTATCACATAAAGTACTAATGAGGCTCTTAGTCAATCTAGCAAGTCAATGGTATCAATGGGAGGTACGCGCGGAAGAGACCAACCTGACCAACCCCTTCGTCTTTAGAGTCGTCAATGCCCAGGGCACCGATGAGGAGCAAAGGATAGATGGCTTTTGGAGTACTAGCTGGTACATCAAACGGACTGGTGTCTCAAGCGAATCGAAAGCATTTTCGTCTTCGTCTTCGTCCTTGTCATTATCAACTTCGTCAGTCACGCTAGACCCGATTTCTTCGCCACCAACAACATCGTCAACAAGTCCCTCGTCGACCACATCAGCAACAGATACCCTGGCAACAGTGGCCTCAGATGGAGTAAAAGACACGGAAGACAAGGGCATCGGAAAAAAACACTATAATCGGACTGACGGTTGGGCTCGTGGTCGCGGGAATCGTCATCATCGTGGGAGTGGTATTTTGCCTTCGAAAACGCCGGAAAGATAAGGCTGGTTCACCTCCTGCGCCAGTCTCCGCCGTTTCCTACCCCGATAACGCCCCTGCTCAAAAGCAGTCTGGTTATCGTTCAGCGCATGAGGTCTTTGCGCCGCCTTCCGAGTTGCAGGGCGCGCCACCGCTCTACGAGCTTCCTGGTCACAGATAGTAGGGATAGCACGAAAGGTGCGTTGTATCAAAGAAAAATAATTCGTAAGCTTGACACCGCCGATCCTTGTGCGAAAAAAGATCAAGATGATGCTTGCGACCCTTATCCCCTTACCAGGTCGTTTCGCACTAATCTGCCGGTACAATGCTTGTATATGGCTGAGCGGACGGGAAGCCTAATTCTCATTGTTCTATGGTCGTATGTGAAGGTAGAGCAAGCTTGACTCATTATAACGGTAGTGCGTTGGATCCGAGAGGTCATGGAGAGCTCTGGGAGGTACGCCAGGTGGCCCGCTGCTTCAATGTGCGAGACAGCTTGAGGAACGAACACGAACTTTGATTGCAAAGGTTCGGTTGCTATGACCAAAGGGCTGACGGATTCTGCGGCTTGTCGCGGTGCTCCTACACCAGAGTCGCGTTGTAAGTGGTTGCGACTATCTTGAAGGCAACCTTCTCCAAAGCAATCTCTATATCGGTCCTATATGTGGTATGACGCTCACTAAAAAAACGAATAGGTTCTACCACAGCGTCAACACGACGATGCAGATATCCAGTAGCTTGACGCTGATACGATAAGTTAGCCTGTGTACCTTTGAGGCTTCCCAGACACTGCGCAGATATGTACTCACAGTTTTCCACTCGCGATGATCCTCATACATGCGGTCGTATATCTGCGACCTGTTTAGTCTCCTTGATTAATCTCGTCGTCGTCGTTAACTTACGTATTGCTCGGGGTGGTTATCACATTTAATCCAATGGAGGAAACGAGTGTGGACATATTCCAACTCTTCGTATGCTTCCCACAAGTCTCTGATCAATCCAGTCGGATCGTAGGTCCTATCGTGGAACTCTTTCTCGTCATATGCAAATTGTCTTCGTATGCAGAGCGCCGGTATGCGTTCTTGGAGGTAGTATTTGATGAGCTGGGACCATAGAGACTTTGTTCGTTTCTGGATGGCTCCGCCTATGCAAGTCGCATACATCCGCACCAACGGGAATCCCATCTGATTACCCAGTTCCACAAGCGCAGTCACCAGTGGAATTCGGGTGCTGACCTCCATCTGTGCGTGCAAGATAGAGGAAGCTTGGAGCATGGTCTCTGCCGGGTCACTGTAGTCAATCTTTTCAAGACCGCTTCCAATTTCGACTTCAGTTGCCTGACCTTCGCGTCCATACAGCAAGCCAACAGCATCTAAAAATACCCATTGGATGCTTCTAGCGTAGTTGATTACGACCCTCGAGTGGGGCGCGACTAGACCTTGCAACCCATATACTTTGTCTCTTGGGTCGTGGCAATCGCTTTTACTGAAGGTCGCAAGTAGACTCGTATAAGTGTACTTCTTCGCCGAGAGCGCGTGTTCCACAAGCCATATCACCTGTTGCGGTATACAGTACCGAACCTGCGCCAGCAGTGGAGATGCACTTGAGAGACAGAATCGCCTCAGCTCTTCCCATGAAAGTATAGTCTCTCCGCACATGATCCGAATATATCGGGCCAGCATGATTTCTTGTACAATCCAAAGTCTTTTCCAGTACGTGTTGAGGAAGAAGCATCTGAGTGCTGCGGCCGGCAAGCTATCCGACTCTGGCTCCAAGCAAGAATTCTTGGTGGGATGGCATTGCTCCTCGGTTCCAGAGATCCGACGCCGCCTTGGTCCTTTCGTAGGCGACAGCGTGGTTCTATCTTCGTAGTACTGTCTCAGACCGGACTTCAACACCGTCATTGCCGCTTCAACCTCGGAATGACATGGCCCGAGCCACACGTAAACGTAGGCGGCCCGACTATAGATCTCGGACATCAGCCTCACCTGATGGTTGCGTTCGGTAATCACCGTTTGATTGATGCAGATCTGATCGATCCATAACCATTGTGTCTCGGCCTCGTATAGACCGTTACTTTGGAACTTGAAGAGTCTCGTCCTGAAAGTTTCGAGGAATGCATACAGATTTTGACGCACTTTCAAAGGCTGACCGTCGATGTAGATGCGCCGAAGCGGTGAGCTTGGTCCCCATTCATACGAAACCGCTCGATAGTCGGGTGTTCTGTCGTCTTCGAGGTAGGCATTTCTGAGCTGGCATTTGATATCGCCAGAAGATGCGGGAGTAATGCAGACCAGTCGAATTTGCTGTCTTCGAGTGTCCAGAGGTTCGTGCTTGAAGCAGTGGCCGACGTCGTCCGCGCCTTCCATGCTTCCGAACGGAGGCCGCGCTAATCCGAACACGTACTAACTTGAGGTCTAACATATATCAGAGAAGCCCAAGGTAAACCCGTGACCAATTCCTTAGGCCTTATGGGCTGGAGAACAGAAGATAGGGGTATTGCGTCTCAAGTTGTAACGGAAGATGAAAACGTAACCTTCAGCATGTTTGGATGTAGAGACAGCGAACGGGTGCGGGGTATAGGCAGTAACTATCACTAGCCGCTAAAGAATATACCACGCCGCATACCTACAGCAGCCAAAACCTCATAGCACGACACATTCGAGAATCAGACGACCAACTACTCGCCCTTCTTCAAGAAAGTCAAAGCAGCAACAACGTACCCCTCCATGCCCACCGTCAACGTAGGCTGCACAACCGGCGCAAAGAAGGGACTATGATTTCCAGGAACATCCTCACTCAGCCTCCCCTCCTTCTCCGCCTTATCCCAAACCGCGGGATCCGTGCCTCCATAGAGGAAAAAGCAACTTGGCTTGCCAATCGCAGTAGCGAGGATACCAAAGTCTTCCGAGCCCTGTAGACGCGCAATGTCCGACTGATACGAATGCTTTCCAGGCTGGAAGTGCGCTGAGAAAGACTGCTCAAGCGCGTTGGTAACGTCGGCGTCGTTGAAGAGCAAGGGGAACTGCGTTGTTGGTGTCAAGGTAGGAGTGTTTGGATTGTTGGATGCTTCGGCCTCGGCGGCGATGATGCGTTTTACGCTGGCGAGGACGCGCTCGCGGGTTTGGGGTAGAGCTGCGCGGACGTCGATTTTCAGGTTGGCTTCCGAGGGGATGATGTTTTCGGCGTCGCCTGCGTGGAAGGCGGAGACAGTTACCACGGCAAAGTCTAGGGGGTCTACTTCTCGCGCGACGATGGATTGGAGACGCATTATTGTGGATGCGGCTTGTAGGATGGGGTCGATGCCGCGATGGGGAGTGGATGCGTGGGCTTGTCGACCTTCGATGCGAAGTCTATAGGGGTTAGTTTGAACGAGGAGTCAAGAAGAAGGGCGGATTTACTGGAATCGATCAGCCGAGCTGGCGATTAAACCATGCTTCGTACCAATAACACCAGCTCTTTCCGGCATAACATGTGCGCCCACCACAACGTCCGGCTCTTTGACTTTGTTGTACAGACCATCATCCACCATGTTCTGCGCGCCACCTGCTCTTTCTTCCGCTGGCTGGAACACCAAGATCAACTCCCCGCTCCACGCCTGTTTACATTTGACCAGAGTTTCCGCCGCCGCAAGCAGCGCGGTAATATGCATGTCATGGCCACAGGCATGCATCACGGGCTTCTCAACATCGTCCACATCCTTCATACGCGCTGTACTGGCATAGTTCAGGCCTGTCTTCTCTTCCACGGGTAGCGCGTCAATGTCAGCACGTAAGAGAAGTGTCTTTCCGGGGCCATTGGAGAACGTCGCAGCGACGCCGTGACCGCCGATGGAAGAATGAATCGTGAAAGCTTTAAAAGTCTCTAGATGTTTGACGATCGCTTCCGCTGTCTTGGCTTCCTGGAAGGACAGCTCCGGGTGCGTGTGGAACCACTTGTCTGTAACTTCATTAGCGATGAAATTGATCAGTTACCATGATCACTCACAGAGCTCTTCATATGAAGCCAAGTCTGGCTGATGTGCCTTGACAATCTCACTTATGGAAGGCATGATCTGCGTCAATGCTTTCACGATATTTACAAGAATGGGTGGCTGAATTGCAAATAATCTGTAGTTGGTCGCTGATATATACGTCCAGTCTTGCGGTAGATAACTCGGTAAACGACCTGCCTTTGTCGCGTTAGTAGGTCCAGTCGTGATACCCGTGCTGGATTAGTGTTGTTCTGACAAATGCGGTTCCCGACGGGGAAAGTCGAGAATGACGTATGAGCGTGCGTTGCATTGTGGGGTAGCGTAGTTGATTCCGACGCCGATACCGCCGGCAGCAGCGCAAGACTGTACGAGGCCGATAGATGGAGCTGTGGCTGAAAAGTGCGTGTATTGATGTGAGTAGGCTGGAAAGGAATACGTTCGTTGATAATAATACAATGATGTGCGCAACGCCAAACGAAACCCTTCTTCTAGACCCAGAATGCGTACATCTCAAACTCCTCGCATGTGGCGACAAGGACCGACGGCTGCGTCAAAAGGTGCGCGATTCGTCCATTCCAATATACAGCATGTGTAACAAGCTCGTAGAGGGAGGGAGGATTGGGCTTTGCCATTCTACGACTCTGCCATGTCCTTGTCGTGTTCCTCAAGCTGCCTCTCCAGACTTCCCATGAGGTCTGGTTCCGAAGTTGGTGCAGAAGGAGCAGCTGATTGAGGTTGCACAGGCTCAGCCTCAAGTTTGGGTTCGGCCTCAACTACAGGCTCAGGCTGGGGCTGGGGCTCCGGGACGACCACAGGCGCTGGTGCCGCGTCCACTTCCACTTCCACTGATGGAGCTGGGACTGGAACCTCGCTTGGGGCCTCCTCGGGAACGATGGCTTCTGTGGTAGTAGTAGAAGTCGAGATCTGGTTCATGGAATTCTGGCGACTATGGGAGACGGCAGAAAGCGGCAGATCAGGTGAGCTGGACTGGTCACGTTTCGGCGTCTGCAGCGACGTGTCGATTGGAGCGGTTTCGATTGCGGTCCTCTCGATCGTTGCGGTATCTTGAGAGGGCTCGTTGGAAGCCGGCGGCGGATGGCTTGCTAGTGCGGTGCTCTCTGTCAATGTAGCGTCCGCAAAATTGGGGGCTTCGGTCGCTGGAGCACTGGGTGGGACTACAGAGGACGCCTGAGGGGTCGCTGGGTTGGAGGTATGCTCCATGTCTTGATCTTCATCTTCCGAGCCCTCCTCGCCAGACCCCTCTTCTTCCTCGCCACCGGCGTCTGCCATTGGCGTATCACCTCCATCTGACGGAGCTACCGATCCGTCCTCTTGTTTGACGCCTGGTACACCCAGCATGTCACCGCCGGCAGTTGATGCTGGCGTCCCTTGCTCTGCTCCTTCGACAAAGACGACCTTCTTCTTGCCTCTGCCTGGGCCCCCACGCTTGACCTTCTTCTTAGGAGGTGGCGGCCTCCGCCGAGGTGGCGTTTGTTGTAGGATGTCGTTAGCTACGACGACACCTTCCGCATTCACAACACCGACTCCCTCGACGATTGTTCCCGGTGCCGCAGTAGCTGGCGCAACTTCAATTGCAGCATCTTCAGGCTGGACTTCGCCTTCTACAGCCTGTCCTTCAGGTACAAGTACCTTGTAAACAGCCACGTTGCCATCTGCATCAAGTTTCTTAACCTTGGTTTCCCGCAACGCAGGTTGTGCAACCTGACCATTGACGTATGGTGATGGGAGACCTTTCCTTCTCTTTGCGAGATACTCTGGTTCCGAAACTTCTAAATGCCGTGCAACTTTGACGTACTTCTTGATAGTGAAGCCGGTACGGATCTCTTTAGTCTCTTCTTCCTCGTCTTTCATCTCGTTGTCGTCTTCTGGGGGAGCCGGTGGTTTGTACAACTTCCCGGAGCGTGCTGCTCGCAGCAATTGCTGAGAATGCTCAGGCAACATGTGAGAATCTCGAGGCATGGGCAGCTCGGGCCAAGCATCTTTGTCCAAAGGCTTGTTGTCGGCCGAGTTTGGCTCAATGGTGATTTCAGCTTCCCGATACTGACTAATGGGCAATCCTTCCAGCACATTGTGCTCTATCTGGCCGCGTCCTGACCTGTTGGACCGATCCCTGTTCCGAAACTAGTTAAATCATGTCAGCTTGAGTCTAGAAGAGATATGTGCACGTTTGGACGCTGTCCGGACACGATGCGATGCTATGGCTGCGTCGTCGCGCGAGAGGTGCAGGTACAGAAGAGCTGCTCATCA